GGAATGTTTAAACTCAATGTAATGGTTGTTAAACCAAAAATGAATAATAAAGTGAATGCTTCTGTTTACTTGCTTGAGTCTTCCAATGTGTAGCATGGTAGATTAGGACACGTTAACTATAATACTTTATGTAGGCTAGTTAACTTGAAATGCATACCAGCATTCCATATTTATTCCAAATATAAGTGTGAGACTTGTGTTGAAGCGAAATTGACTAGGTCTTCCTTTAAGTCAATTGAACGAAATACGAAATCACTTGATTTAATTCACAGTGATATATGTGATTTAAAATTTGTACAAACAAGAGGTGGCAACAAGTACTTCATTACTTTTGTCGACGATAGCACGAAATACTGCTATGTGTATTTGCTAAAAAGTAAGGATGAAGCGATAGAGAAATTTGTTCTCTATAAGAATGAAGTTGAAAATCAACTTAACAAGAAAATTAAAGTGCTAAGAAGCGATCGAGGTGGTGAGTATGAAGCACCGTTTGCTGAATTCTGTGCACAACACATAATCATACATGAAACCACCGCACTGTATTCACCGCAACAAAATGGTGTTGCTAAAAGGAAAAATCGCACCTTAAAGGAGATGATGAATGCGATGCTAGTAAGTTCTGGATTACCTCAGAACATTTGGGGGGATGCTGTGTTATCAGCAAATTACCTTTTGAATAAGGTGCTCCGAAAGAAAATGGAGAAGACCCTTTATGAGTTATGGAAAGAAAAAACGCCTTCCTGTAAATATTTACGAATGTAGGGGTGTCTTGCTAAAGTGGCTGTCCCAACACCAAAGAAGGTGAAGATAGGCCCAAAAACTGTAGACTACATATTCATTGGATATGCACATAATAGTAGTGCTTATCGGTTTCTCGTGTATGAATCTAAAATCCAAGATATACACAGAAACACGATAATGGAGTAGAGAAACGCTTTGTTCTTTGAACATATGTTTCCATGCAGGTCCGAAGAAGAGGCAAGTTCTTTTAAACGGAAGTATGAGACTATGACTGAACATAGTCAGGACCAAGAACCAGAAGAGGAGGTTGACGTTGAACCTAGATGTAGCAAAAAGGAAAGGACAGAAAAATCTTATGGTCCGAATTTTCTGACCTATATGCTAGAAAGTGAACCTCAAAGCTATCAAGAGACTATGAACTCCTCGGAAGGACCTCAATGGAAAGAGGCAATTAAAAGTGAAATAGATTCTATCCTGTAAAATCATACATGGGAGCTAGTGGATCTTCCACCAGGAAGTAAACCACTAGGCTACAAGTGAATTTTCAAACGAAAAATGAAAGCAGATGGAACTATTGAAAAGTATAAGGCCACGTTGGTAATAAAAGGTTACCGACAACGGGAAGGCCTTGGTTACTTTGATACATATTCTCCAGTAACGAGAATAACATCCATTAGAATGATACTTGCGACTGCTACTTTGCGAAATCTTGAAGTACATCAAATGGATGTTAAGAATGCCTTCTTGAACGGAGACTTAGATGAAGAAATCAATATGGAACAATCCGAAGGGTTTTCATCTCCAGGGCAGGAAAAGAAGGTGTGTAAATTGGTGAAGTCATTGTATGGCTTGAAACAAGTACCAAAACAATGACATGAGAAATTTGACAGTGTCATGATGGAGAGTGGATTTAAGATCAACGAATGTGATAAATGTGTTTACGTTAAAGACAATGAAAATGACTATGTCATTTTATGTCTTTACGTTAATGACATGCTTATTGTTGGCAGCAACGATAAGGTGATCAAATCCACTAAAATCATGTTAAATTCGAGATTTAACATGAAAGACATGGATCTAGCTGATGTTATACTTGGAATCAAAATTTCAAGAACGTCGGATAGTCTTGTTCTAAGCCAGTCACTTTATATGGATAAAATCCTAGGAAAGTTCAGTAAGGATGATACTGAAATGGCTAGAACTACGATAGATACGAGTCAACATCTATCTAAGAACAAAGGTGAAAGTGTGTCTCAAGTAGAATATTCGAGAATTATTGGAAGTCTGATGTACTTGATGAGTTGTACAAGACTAGACATAGCCTACACACTGAGCAAACTGAGTAGATACACGAGTAATCCACGAGCTGATCACTGGAAAGGAATAGTAAGAGTACTGAGGTACTTGAGATATACTCGTAATTTTGGACTGCACTATAGCAGAAATCCAGCGGTCATTGAAGGATATAGTGATGCTAATTGGATATCCGACATAAAAGACTCAAAGTCCACGAGTGGATTTGTGTTCACATTGGCAGGTGCAGCTATATCATGAAAATCTTCTAAATAAATAGTGATAGCCAGATCCACTATGGAATCTGAGTTTATAGCTCTAGATAAAAGTGGTGAAGAGGCTGAGTGGCTACTCAACCTCTTAGAGGATATTCCAAGATGGTCAAAGTCTGTGCCAACAATTTGTATATATTGTGATAGTCAATCGGCAATTGGAAGGGGCACAGAGCAATATGTATAATGGTAAGTCTAGACATATACGTTGTAGACATAATAACATTAAGTAACTACTCTTAACTGGAGTTATCACTATTGATTATGTAAAGTCAAAGGATAACATAGCGGATCCGCTAACCAAATGGTTAAATAGAGAGTTAGTTGAGAAATTATCGAGAGGAATGGGACTTAAGCCCTTGAATGGATAAGTTAATACAAAGAAAAATTCAACCTAGTTGATTGGAGATCCCAAGATCTAGGTTCAAAGGGATAACCTAATTGTAAAGACTTGATAGAATCACTGTGGGAGATATTAACTCCTGTCCATTCCTGTGATGCGACAGTGATGCCCATAAAGATGGAGGATAAACAATAGGTTTTTAATGATTCTTATGCGTCAAAAATCAAGCCAAGTAATGCAGGTTACTTGTAATAAGAAATCACCTATGTGAGAGAGAAGTGGGGCCGCTTCTAAGGAAATTGTGTGGGGTGCAATTCTTGTGAACTCTCGTAGAACCAGGCGTATATTCATGGCCAAAACGAACATAATAATGAGGACTGAAATGTGTTAGGAAGAATCCTGTGTGAAATGTATCATCGTTTACATAAACGGCAGAACAATTCAAGGACATCGCGTCTACTGGTCAGCCAGTGAAGTAAATATGCTTTCACAAGGGAAGGTTCAAAGGGTAATACCTACCTATCCTATGCAGATTTCAACTGTTGAACTATATCACCAAGTCGTCATGTGTCACATTCACAAGTCGTCATGTGTCACATTCATAAGTCGTCATGTGTCACATGCATGAGTCGCTCTCAATTTTCATTCATGTGGGGGATTGTTGGAAAAAAAAATTGAGTTATAGGTCGACTTTGGCACGAGTTTTGAGTGGGACCCGGTTGTTCCATTTGAAAGATGAAAGTTGATTTGTGTTCTCCTCCGTGAGTACATCAAAATCATATACTTACTTGCCAAAGATGATGCTCGGGTGAATGAGAAATTGAGACTCAAAGTGCGTCACTCAAAAGGGAGTTTATGTGGGAAAAATGAATTTGTCCCACAAAGAAAAAAAATGAGAAACTCCAAAGGTCATTACCATTAATGGTAGCCTAGCCTATAAATAATAGCTCATTTTCCTCATTTCAATACACCAAAGCAAAAGTTTTCAAGTTTAGAATACACAAGAAATTCATTTGCATAGAGTTTTGTCTTTTCTGCATTTCTGTCTTGGTGGTGGTGTAGTTCAGACACTAGTTCAGTTCGCCGGAGTGGTTTCTACGGTGCTCGAAAGCTACTGGTTTTACCGTTGTATCTTGGAAAATAGACGCTCATTTTAAATCTCAAGCACGGACGGTGAGGGGGTTCTCTGCATTAAAAGCAGACTTCGATACACTACTGAGATTGAAAACATTGGTAGATCACAAACCGTAGCAGTAAGTAGTGTATGCTTGTTCATATGATTTCCACCCCTTTAAAATATTTGAAATTTATAATTCATCTCGACTAATTGTGTTATTAATTGGCTGCTGATAAACTGCAAGCTTGAATGCATGTGCAATAACATTTTCCGGGTCATGGTATATGTCTAAAAATGTTAGCGCGTAGGTCGATTTGGGAACAGCGGGACGAAATTTTGACTTGCTGGATTTAGGGCTCGTTTGGTACGGATTAAAATCTGATTTTAATCTAATTAATTCAAGTCAAAGTCAAACAATCAATATTAACCACATATTTCATGGGTCCCACAATTTTTAAATCACACATTTCAAAAATTTCTATCGCAATCTACTAAAAAATCTTGTTTTTTAATTTCTGCCAAACACCCTAGTTGAGTAGAACATTATAAGCATTGCAATTGCCAAGATAGCTTTGGTTTATGAACATTAATTTTTTAAGTGTATCCCATGAAAGATGTTTCATGTTACCTCGTTATTGAACTTGCTTTTTTCGCTTTTGTGTAACAATTGAAGTTGAACTTGCTAAAGACCCTCACTGATTCTCTCGGATTAATAGCATTAGAAGTGATTGCTGAATGAAATGTTACCAATGAACACTTTATTAAAATCGACTCGTTTCGAGATCATATCGAGAGTTTCAATACAATGATCTTCTAAAATATAATTGACATATTCATGTATGCAAAAAGGGAGAGGGGAATTTTTTGCCCTTTTATTTATTTTTTTGTTTAACAAATTTATCTATTCATTTTTAACAAATTCATTTCATCCCATCTTTTGACATCGGTGCTCTTGGGAAGCAAAGGGCAATAGCTAAACATAAATACAGAATGGTGAGTGTTAGGTGAATTGTGAAGTGAAGTTAGTTTTGGACTGAAATTTGTAGGAAAAAAATATTTTGGACGAAAGTTGGGTTTGGTCTTTAGGAGTTTGAGCATTGAATATTCACAATTAATCACTTAACTAGTTAATTGACAAATTTATTTAGAAAAAAAAATTAGTTTGGATTATTTAATATAAAAAATTCAACAATTCAAAAATTTTGTTTTTATTCGATTCTTAGGAAGAATTGATTCGAACTGTTTCGAATTCGATTCGAGAATTTTCTGTCTAGTCCTACACTTCTCCCACTTTCTCTTTGTGCAATTGTACGGAAGTCAAACCCGGCATTAAGCAAAGAATCGACAAATAATTGAAGCTCTTTATCGGGTAAATAATTGAGCAAAAGGTACAAGAAGATAGATAAAGTGCACAGGATGCATAATTGAGTTAAATTATCTGGTAAAGCTGTGTTTTTTTTTTTTTTCGAAGGTGTGAATTTATGTCCCACAATCAATCAAGGGGTGATCGGACCAAATCCGGACAGTATAGGAAAATCGGTCGATCCAGTAGCTTCAATCAGCAGCGCCACTTATCTGGCGATTTCAAAGGTGACGGTGGTGGAGGGGGAGGCTCCTCCTCCGCCACTCCCTCTATCTCCAACCGCAGGTACATATATATTTTATCAGAATTTGTCGTGCACACCCACACACGTGCATGGGTGTATGGATGGACGTACTTGCGAATGATTCTTTGTTTTGTTTGCACATAGAAACTAGGTTTGTGTTTCTGGATTATGGTTTTTCTAGATGTTAATTAATTTTTGGACTATCATGGGTGCGCAGTTCGAATGTTATTCAGGATTCGAGCCATTTATTACCAGCGACTGTTGTACAGAACGTTGCTCAACTATGTCAGCCACCACCTGGTATGATGAGAGTGCCTGTGATATTCAGATGAGACCAGTCTATTAAATTTTAGTACTAAAATATGAAAATTGCACAAGGAGACTTGATTTTCTTGCTTGACTGCGTAATTTATTTGTTTGATCTTTCAGCATTCTGATGGCGTAGTTATGCCCGTTTACCTTTATTTTTAAGGATTTTTTCGTTTGTTAATTTTAGTGGCTGTTATTTTAGGAGTATCTGATGCATTAGTTACAAGTAAGAGTGTAAATGTCACCCCGATTAACGCCCCAGCTCAGAGAATCTCCCAAGCTGTTCCAAGATCTCCATCTTCTACCAATTCTTCTACTGCTAGCTCTGCAATATCTGCGAAGGGTATGGCAACCAACCTGTTCTTGATATGCATATGAAGCATTTTCGTTTTATTTTTATATTAGAGAATAGTTATTTATTTTTATGATATTTTAACATCAATTACTCTAGTCTTTACTTTCTGTAAATGTAATTGATAATTTGCGGCTATTATTTTTGGATCCCTTAGCCGCAGCAGATGCTTCCAGCTCATATTCTCTACAGTTTGGGTCTATAGGTCCTGGATTTATGAATGGATTACAGGTGTGTCAATTGCATAAATCCATGTTTCTGCTTATCAATTTGTGTAGTCAGATTCTTTACGTTCATTTTTTTACGAAACTGCATTTGTTTACCCCACATGTTTGTAGATTCCTGCTCGAACAAGCTCTGCCCCAGCAAATTTGGATGAGCAGAAAGAAGATAAGGTTAGTGGTGTTTCTCTTCTTTCTTGGTGTTCAACTGATAATAGATTAGAGTTTTGTGTGTTCCTCTACTTATAAGAGAGGTTGAAATACTAAAAAATGGTACTCTTTACTAGATACAAGGGAAAGTTGCTGCTCTAAATCTCCGACGGTTGTCTCATTGGTCTTGTTGTGTGCCATTTTTAGGGCAAAATTTATGTTTTTAGAGTTGCTCCTTCACTAACATGTTTATGCATTCAAATACATATGTATATATTACCTCCATAAAATTTTGCAGAACACGTTATAACTATTTCATTTGAGTTAAGAACTACCACAAAATTATCTCTCAGCAATCAATACTTATTTGATAGTAAGCCTGTTTCGAAGATAACTTTATTGCTCAGATTGCGCACTATGTGCTGATCTTCCCTGATTATTATGGTCAACAGGCCTGTCATGACTCTTTAAAAGCTGCACATGCAGTGCCAACTCCAACCATTCCCAAACATCGACTGCCGAAAAAAGACACTAGAGTCCTTGATGAACCCAACACCAGTGAAGCTCAGCCAGTCTCCAAGTCCAAAAGGGATGCACAAGTTTCAGCTGCACCTCCCTCAACTCAAATTCAGTTGCAGGCCACGCCTACCTCATCTTTGACAAACGGCCCAAACCCAATACAAATGGGGATGTCTATTCCTTTACTCATGGGAAATCCACCAATGTCTGTATCAGGTCCTCAACCACCAAATGCGATTCAGTCTCACGGATTGACGCATCAGGGTCAGAACTTGAACTGCTCATCGCAAATGGGTCATCAGACGCCCCCTCAGTTTGGTAACATGGGAATTATTATGGCCCCACAATTTCCTCCACAACAGGCTGCAAACTTCACTGCTTCTCGTAAAACCGTAAAAATTACTCATCCAGAAACTCATGGAGGTCTGCAAAGGAATAACTCTGATTCGGACTGGTGGCAGCATGGAACTGCCTTTCTGAAGGGTTCAATGCCTTCTTCTCAGACACCATTACAGGTGATGCACAAAGCTGAGAAGAAATATGAAATAGACAAAATTTCAGATGAGGAAGAAATCAAGCAGAGGCAGTTGAAAACCATCTTAAACAAGCTTAATTCTCAGAACTTTGAAAAATTGTTTGCGCAAGTGAGGCAAGTCAACATTGACAATGTTGTAACTCTCTCTGGGTTGGTCTCTCAAATATTTGATAAAGCTTTGACGAAACCCACCTTCTGTGAGATTTATGCTAACTTCTGTTTTCATCTAGCTGCGGAGTTGCCTGATTTTAGCTTAGATAATGAAAAAATTAATTTTAGGAGATTACTTCTGAACAAATGCCAGATGGAATTTGAGAGGGGAGAAAGGGACGAAGAAGAGGTGAAGAAAGCTGATGAGGAAGGTCAAGCTAAACACTCGGAAGAGAAAAGAGAGGAGAAGAGGCTCCGAGAACGGAGACACTTGTTAGGTAATATAAGACTAATTGGAGAACTGTACAAAAAGAAAATGCTAACAGAGAGACCAATGCATGAGTGCATAAAGAAGTTGTTGGGCCAGTATCAGAGTCCTGACGAGGAAGATGTTGAAGCCTTGTGCGAATTAATGAGCACGATTGGTGAGATGATGGATCATCCCAAATCCGAGGAGTACATGGATGCCTATTTTGACATTATGGCCCAGTTGTCAAACAACATGAAACTGTCTTCTAGGGTAAGGTTCATGCTGAAAGGCTTAATTAATCTGAGAAAGAATAAGTGGCAACAGATGAGGAAAGTTGAAAGGCCAAAAAAGATTGATGAAGTGCACAGAGATGCTGCTGAATTGGGTCCACATGGAGATCTGCAAAGGAATAACTCTGATTCTGACAGGTGGCAGTGTGAAACTGCCTTTCAGAGGGGTTTAATGCCTTCTTCTCAGACACCATTACAGGTGATACACAAAGCTGAGAAGAAATATGAAATAGGAAAAGTTTCAGATGAGGAAGAAATCAAGTGGAGGCAGTTGAAAGCCATCTTAAACAAGCTTAATTCTCAAAACTTTGGAAGATTGCTTCAGCAAGTGAAACAAGTCAACATTGACAATGTTGTAACTCTCTCTGGGGTGATCTCTCAAATATTTGATAAAGCTTTGATGGAACCCGCCTTCTGCGAGATGTATGCTAACTTCTGCTTTCATCTAGCGGTGGAGTTGCCTGCTTTGAGTGTAGAAAATGAAAGAATTACTTTTAAGAGATTACTTCTGAACAAATGCCAGGAAGAATTTGAGAGAGGAGAAAAGGAAGAAGAAGAGGCGAATAAAGCTGATGTGGAAGGTCAAGCTAAACAATCGGAAGAGGAAAGAGAGGAGAAGAGACTCCGAGCACGGAGACGCATGTTAGGTAATATAAGACTAATTGGAGAACTGTACAAAAAGAGAATGCTGACAGAGAGAATAATGCATGAGTGCATAAAGAAGTTGTTGGGCCAGTATCAGAATCTTGACGAGGAAGATGTTGAAGCCTTGTGCAAATTAATGAGCACGATTGGTAAGATGATAGATCATCCCAAAGCCAAGGAGCACATGGATGCCTATTTTGACATTATGGCCAAGTTGTCAAACAACATGAAACTATCTTCTAGGGCAAGGTTCATGCTGAGAGACTCAATTGATCTGAGAAAGAATAAGTGGCAACGGAGGAGTAAAGTTGAATGGCCAAAGAATATCAATGAAGTGCACAGAGATGCTGCTCAATTTGACAGGCCTATTGGGGGGGTCCAGACCAGATCATGATGGAAGTGTCATGGCTGATAAGGACAAATGGAGCAAAATTCCTGGGCCTCTAATGTCAGGGAAGGGAGATATGACAATGGATATTGGTTATGGGGGTAATGTGCGGTTTCGGCCTGGTCAAGGAGGTAATTATGGTGTTCTATGGAACTTTCGTGCACAGTCACCTGTTCAGCATGCTGGGGGAATCTTTTTCTGGGCCAATGCATTTCTAGGGGCCACAGGGAGGTTTTCAAAGGAATAACTGATTCTGACGTGGAACTTCCTTTCAATGTGTTCAGTGTTTTTAAGATTACTCTTTTCAGTATCATAAGGTCTTCACTGCTTTACCTGTTTGGTGTATATTTGTAGCAAATAAGGCAAATATGCCATTATTACCCATGTATAGCCTTATCATCCTGTCCTAGTTACAAAATTGTACTCCCTTCAACTTTAAAGATTTGATTGGCAAAACATTTGTTGGGTGGGTTTAAGGATTTTGACCACGGTTTTTGTCAATAGCTTGTGTGATGTGTCTACATTTCATAAACCATTCTTGCATTTCTCTTCATTTTTTTTGTTTTTTTTTTGCTGCCAAAAGATCTGAACAGTAGCGATATTGTAACCAACGAGTAATTGGAGGAACATGCTCTTGTTTGAACGGAAATTTGCAAGTAAACATTAATTCTCGTCCGATGAAAATTTTCATATATTTTATATTTTGGAGAAGGGTCGAATACTATGTTTTTGCAAGTTTGATATATTATGAAATATGCTCTGCTTTGGTTCTAGATTTTTGATGGAGTCCTATCGTAACCTGGTGGTTCAATAATAGGTTTGTCCTTAGAAATTGTGCTAGCAATACGGCATTTGGTGAGCCGGATTCAATTGAACCTGTTAGAAGTGAAAAGTTCAAATCCATTCCTCATAGCCGGTTCACAAACCCTTCTTATGAGATGCCCACTGTATCCTTAAACCTCAGTCTGATTTACGAAGAGTCCACTGGCCAAAAGGGAGAGAGATGGTGGGCGCGCTGAAATCGAACATTCAGGGTCCTAACCCTACATATTTTGTGCGACGTTGAGTGGTTTGGTCCTTGTTTTTGAACAATCGAATCGAATAAGTTCTAGATGAAAATTTCATAGATGGAACTATTTAGTTCCTAGCGGGAATTGCTAGTAATCATCAATCAACAATACGACGATGAATTTCGTTTTCAACCCATCACTCTATGCGAGCTGGTCATGCTCGAGACCGTTACCTTAACTGCTAGGAGAGAGATATAGTAGGTAGGATTACTTACTGGAGTGATGTCACAACAAGGTAGTCATACTGAAAGGTGCGTCTGGATTACCTCATTTTCGTGGAGAACTAATGCTTTTTGGATATTTTGAGTTGAGAACTTTATAAGAGAGAAAAGGAAGCTACGTTTGAGTTAAATTTGGAGATGAAAATCTTCTTCTGTTTCTTGGCGTTGAAGTAAAATCAAGCTCATGAACTATGGTTGAGATGAATTGGGCTAGAGCTGCTAGATTTCTTTTAGACTCGACCTTATCCTACATTACAAAATTCAAATAGTATAGAGACGAATAAGCATGTTCCAGTATGATAGTCACCCTACTATAGTCTTCGAATCAACGATTATGCATTGTTTATATCCTTCTATATCTTTGAGTGGTTTACATCTCCATTTTAAACTCACTTTGAAATGACAGTGGACGAAAACGAAATAGAAGGAGAGTAAGAATATAGTAACACCTATTTGAGCCCTTTTTTTTTTTTTTTTTGCTCAAAATGCATTTTGGAATAGTACTTTGATGGATAACATATGTTTAAAAAATAAGAAAAAATTTTGAATTTACATGTAATATTATTTTATTAAAAATGTGTGATTGAAAATAAGAAAGCGAAAAATGCATTTTGAATGGGGACCAAACAAGGGTTAAGAGTAAAAGGATCTAAACAAAAAATAAATTATTTTTATTTTGTCAACGTACTTTAAAATGAGAGATGAATATTTTGTGGTATTTTCATATTTACTTTTTATTTAAAAATATGGTGGATAAATAATTTTTGGCTTAATAGCAGAAAATTTCACTGCATACTTGACAATATGCAATTTACCCTCTACCTATTGGGAATCGCAAATGTTATTATTTGAAATCTTTTGTTCGAAGTACCCCATCATCAAAATCCGTTAGTTTAACCATTAAAAATATTTAAAAAAATACCAAAATTAAAAAGAATTAATTAAAGTTGCAAAACCCATAATTTTTATTTTTTTACAAATTATATACAATCTTTTATATGTACAAACCACAATCCTTTTTAATTTGCAAATAAATAAATAAATAATTTGGGCGTTGCAATTGCAATCATTCATTTTAAATTTTGGCAATTTTTACCATTTTTAACGATTAAACTAATGAATATTGACAACAGAAATATATTTTAAACAAAATGTTTCAAGTAGGGAATCTTTTTTGCAATTTTCAATAGGTAGGGACATGTCGCATATCATCAAGTATGTAGGAGGTTTTGCCCCCAGGGTACATCTCCAAGTGGTAAAAGGGGAGGGTGGAGAAATTCAACTTTACTTGAGATTGCTGCATCAAGAATTCGAATCCTGAAATATGAATTTGGCTCTTGAGTAAGTGCAAGTGTTCAAACAACCTTTCACCCTGTACCCTTGGAGGCATAACCTACGATTTACCTCCCTCACGATACTCCAGGACAGGGGCGGTGGGGGATCTTAAGGTTGGAGTTCAACCTTTTAAGTATGTAGGAGGTTTTATGCTATTAAGCCTAAAAGATAACGTCTTGTTAACAGAAGGTTAATAATAAGAACATGATGAAAAGATAAAGGACATATTAAGATAGTGAGTAAAGTTTGGGGACTTCATCGCAATTAATTTTTTTTAGGGAATTCGCACTAGAGGTCCTGCTTTTTCGTAAATTGAGCATAAGTCCCATTTACTAATCCTAGAACTTTCTGGAACCCCGTTAAATGAACTAGTGTACTATCGTACAGCGACTCCAAATACGCAAGTCTACTTTTCCATATTTTATCCATGGCTTCCTCTTTCATTACACTCGCAAAACCCTTCACTTCTCACAAAGCCGAGCTTCCATCTCTCTCCAATACAAAACTATTTGGTAATTTTTCTTGAAAACCCTTTTAATTCTCATGCATCTGGATGATTTCTTAATGTTTCTAATTTTAGTCCAATTTGTTTTACTGACTGTAATCTTCTTTTGATTGAAAGGTCTACGAAGAAACTTTTTAAGAATCAACGCCATTGCAAAGAAATATGAACCCACCAAGGTTTTTCTCAATGCATTTCTATGCAATGTGTATTGGATTTTTTTTCTCAATTAAAAATAAGCTGAAACCGGGTTTCTTGTTGTTTGAGTAAATAAAATAGGTTGTCCCTCAGGCTGATAGAGTTTTGATTCGTCTAGAGGAGCTACCTGAGGTATTCCTTTTAAAGCCATCTGCTTATGGTTTGAAAATTTATAATTTGTAATGTTAAGCGTGGAGTGTGATAGGGCGATATTTTGTGCTTTCTGATTATAAGTAATATAGGCCTCAAATAAAATATTTGTATCATTTTTATCTGTTACTTTCATGAAACTGTGCAACGTTTTACTTCTGTTTGTGCAAATGTAAATTCTAAGTTGCGACGAGAAACTCTATTACTTCATCAAGAAATTTCTCACTTTGGGATAGTTAAAGATGTTTGGTTTGGATGACAATAAAATGTTATGGTATTGAATAATGTTATTTATAGTCGTAGTAGTGTTAGAGCACCAATCTAAATGTCATAATGTGATAAGCTTAATTGAAGGCAAATTATGTGATTGTGTATAACACCACTGGTGCTAAATAACATTGCACTATTGTATTATGTACAATAGAGATCTAGTGCATGAAGTGCGGCCATGTAGGCAAATATCTTCTGGATCAGTGGATTGTATCCCACTATTCTACTTAAACACGAGGTCAAGTTTCAATTTTAGTTGAAAATTGAGGCAAATCAATGACTTTCTATTGAAGTTGAAAATTGAGGAAAATCAATGATTTTCAATTGAAATTGAAAATTGAGGCAAATCAATGATGCAATTGAAGTCGAGACAAATTAATATGAGAACATGGATATTTATTTTTTATTTTTCTGAACGTTTGTTTGACTAGAATTTTATACGGTTAGAAAATTCTAATTTGACCCTTTCCTTAGCATTTTTTTGTTGTGCAGACAATTCAACCAGGGTGGCGTGTTCATGGTCGACGTGTGTCGAATATCGACACTCTTTGAGTATTCTACCACGATAATTTTTTCTTTCTTTTTTATTAAATAATAAATATAAGCTCTTATTTAAAAGATTTCAATTAAAAAATTAATAACAAATATAAAATTAAATTTATACTATACAAGTGAAGAATTTAATTTAATCAACGTGTCATGTCAGTACTTTTTTGAAAAATTTCGTGTTGGCAAATTCGACAAGCGTCATGTCGAACACACTTGTCCATATTGGTGCATCATAACTTACTATTATACTAAATCTTGCACTTGCTCTGAATACTTTTATTAGCTGTGACATTGAAATAACTATATTGTTGTAAATACAAAGAATACGCTTTACCAACATCCTTGAGCATTTTGTATTGTAGTTTGTAGGAAGGTCGTGTATATCAAGTCATGTTTTTTGTTTCCGTGTTAGTTAGAATTTCCTAAACAGGAAACATGTAAGGTTATTAAATGAAGTGTGATGTTTTCATCCTCCGGTTTCACGTGAGGCAAATCCATGTTTTTCGGGGATCAGATCTCATTGGTGTTTTATGAAGAACTTGACGAATAAGATTGGGTGGTGGGAAGTGAGTTTTTAAAAAGCAGTGTGATGTTTTCATTCTCTGGTTTCACATGAAGCAAAACATGAAATCCATGTTTTGCGTGGAACAGATTTCCTTATTATTGTTTTTATTGAGAAAATGATGAAACTTGCTTTTAAATGAGACCATGGAAATAATTTTGGGTAAATACTGGAATATTCGTGTTTTAACTCTTAGTTGATTGACTAATTAGTTGCTTTTACAGAAGGTTGATGAATAAGTAGGGTGGTGTGAAGTGTATTCTTAAACGAGAAGAATTTTCATTGAGAAAAGTAGATGTGACCATTTGTTTTAAGCATACAAAGGTTTACAGATTCAGAAACTGGAGATTACTTCCATTCTTCCTTTCTGCGCCCGAAGTATTCTAAAATACTTCTATGTTATGTGTTTACATCATTCTATCTGTTTCGCGTGTTGGACCATTTGCAAATATTTGGTGCGAAGTGCAGTGACCGAAAATTACTGCCTGTTTTCTAATGTGCATTGGTGCCATCTGACCAATGGAATAATCTCCATGCAGAAATCAGCCGGTGGAGTTTTACTACCTAAATCGGCAGTTAAATTTGAGCGGTACCTGATGGGAGAGGTGGGTAAACAATTAGAAATGCTCTCGTCCAGATATATGTGTAGCATATCCTTGTACAGAAATACGTGTAGCATTTATGTTTTCATTTTTTTGTTTTCTAAATTAATTTGTTCTTTCTCAGGTTCTTTCCATTGGTTCTGAAGTTGGGGATGTGGAGGCTGGGAAAAAGGTAGGATTTTCGAAAGTTATCATTCAACCTTTTCATTCACTCCAAGCAAACATGTTTGTTTTCTTGAAGGAAGGGTCAAATAAATACTAATATTTATCTTAAGATGTTCTGTTCTCCCCATTTTTGTTCTAAATACATGAAATCCATCTTTTGCAGGTTCTTTTTTCTGATATAAATGCTTATGAGGTACAACTCAGATGACCTTTGATATTTCTTAAATGTGAATGTGCAAATGATTTTGAGTGCATCAAGTTCGTTTCTATCTGAATTCCCTGATTTTTGTATCTAGTTAGACTATAAATTACCAATGCTAAGGAGGTTGTCTTAGAATGGATTGTTGGAGGAAGGGGAAGAAAGGGGGGTCATTATGGGATTGTGGAGTAGCAGGGTGCTATATGATTTAAAGACATTGTTTTATTGAGGGGTATTTAGATGATGTTGAATATTTGTCTATCTTGGGAAGAGGGTGTTAGGGCACAACCAACATTTTGGTGGCTGAAGAAGCCCCAACCATAGCTCTACTTCGCACAAAACATGTGGGCACCATAAACTACATATATTTCATTAAATATTCGTGGTCTTCTATTTTGAGAATTGTAGTCATCAATGACAGCAGTCTCCTTATCATGCATTCTTAACACGAGTCATCCCAACTCTTTTGAGACGCAAGACATTCTAAGATATCTGATGTGGGTTGAGTCCTTGGTGAACCGTCTCTGCATTAAAAGCAGACTTCAATATGACTGTTGAGATTGAAGACGGTGGTAGTCACAAACAGAAGGAGAAAGTACCGTACTTGGCATTCATGTTCGTGTTATTTCGACCACTGTAAAATATCTAAAATTTCTAATTCTTCTTGATGAAGTATGTTACTAACTGGCTGCTGATAAACTGCAATCTGGAAGCATGTGTGATAGCTAGCATTTTCTGGGGTCATGTTATTTGTCTAAAAAATGTTATGCGCATCCTTTGCCAGGTCGATTTGGGAACAGAAGGACGACATTGTTTCTGCAAAGCAGGCGACTTGCTGGCGGTAGTTGAGTAGGACATTATTAGCATATTGCAGTTGCTAATATAGGTTTGGTTTATGATCATCAACTTTTGAAGTGTATCCTGTGTTACCTCCTATTATTAAACTTGCTTCTGTAACAGTTAAAAGTTGAACTCACTGATTCTCTTGAAATAATAGCATTCGAAGTGATTGTTGATTGAAATGTTATCAATGAACACCTTATTAAAAATCGACTCGTTTCAAGATCAAAATCAAGATTTTCCACACAATGAGTATTTTCCCTACTACCATTATCAAAGATCGAATTGACAAATTCATGGCAAAAATAGTAGGAAAATACCACCTCTATTAATACACGCCAGCAGTGTGCGTTGCGTGATTCTACTGTGTTTTTGTAATTGATTGGTAACGTTGTATTTTAAAAGAGGTTGACCTCCTTACTTCACCATACGTGAATTGAAACAAAAAGAAGTCAAAGTTGGGAGTTAAAAGTAAGAATTTTGTTACATGTACTGAATTTGATATACAGAAGTCATACAAATGGATTACTTGGCAAAATCTGGTTGATAGATGGTAAGAAGTTTAAAAAAATTGAATCACACAGACGTTGCTGTTTATGTGAATCAGATGCTGTACACTTTAGCATATTTGTAAAAATAAAAATTATTTTCATACAAATATATTATGAAAGCCCACATTTATTATGTGCTTTGGACTTGTTCACTGTGTGAAGAAAATTTATTAAGAGCCTGTTTGGGAGTGATTTTGAGAATTGATTTTTTGACCGTTAGAAGAAAAGTTGAGTCCACCTGTAAGAGAAGAAATCAAATATGACGACTGAAATAGTGAAATAACGATCAAAAAATTAATTTTTTGTAGAAAAAAATCACTTTCAAACAAGCTCTAATTAATTTAAATACATGGAGTTTGCTTTCATAATCAATCTTCAAGTACATTCAGCTGTCAACATCATAAAATGGTCATGACTCAGTGCCATGTAATTACTGACAAAGACTTAAGACTTGATCTAATCTTTTAATTAATTTTAGATCAGACATTTGGCTTAACACATGTTCAAGAAATAGTTAACATTCACCAATGATTTATAAATGGAAAAATAAAAATAAAAATGAATTATATACCCGTATTCCTTGCCAAGTTCATCGGGTTAGGGACATTTGTGGTCACCATTCATCATAAATAATAGACCATTCCAAAATAATATTGAAACAAATGATAATAAATAGTCTATTGACTCGTTTCATAAGATTTTTGATAACTAAGAAATTTACTCCTACGATTAAGAAGGTATTTTTTAATATATTTGGATAATTTTTTTAAAAGTATTTTGTCTAATTAGAGAAACTTTTCGAGGAAGTTGGCTTAATTTAGTTTCCTCGTGAAATTCTTCTACAAGAAATAAAACTTGAAGTCTGCCAAACGACCCTAATATTAAAGTATTTCTAAGAGACAATTAATTTGGAAATAAAAAAAAAATGTTTTTCCACTCTATTTCTCATCTCAAAATTTTAATTTTTTTTTTTTTTGGATAATTAGATGAAAATCATTTTCCATTCACTTCTCCCATTTTTCTCTTGTGCAATTGTACGAGAGCCAAACATGGCATTAAGCAAAAGGTCCACAAATAATTTAAGCTCAAGCAAATGCTATGATGCACCATACAATCGTCACCGTCCATTTCTATAATCCTAATCAAAAGTGGCATCTCCTAGATTCTCGTTTATGCAAGCCACGTGGCATCTGAAGGTAAATATTTGCTGCTTCGCTGGTGCAATAAACAAGTGCCCACGTGTAACGGGGACAAGTTTTTTGAAAGCAGACATTGGAATATTAGCTGTCCACGGATTACGGTAGAGGAGACAATGACCTTGAAAATAGATCTAAATTTTTTTGCTTCATTTAAGAAAATATTACAATCGAGGTACCAAACCTAATATATCTGTAGTCTTAGTCCCCAGCCTTTTATTTTATATTATTTTGGCTCTCAATTGATTATATTATTATTATTATTATTATTATTATTATTATTATTATTATTATTATTATTATTATTATTATCATTGTGGAACCATATTTTAATTGTATTAGAGCTTTCCAATATTTGTTTATTATCATGCTTACATTTTTAACTTTTTCTTTGCATTTTACTTTAGGTTTCCATTAGTGTGTAGTTGTCTTTGTTAATGATTTTCGTTCAATAAATTTGTCAGAAAAATTTTAATAGACTTATTTACCTATTATATTTTTAAATTAACAAAATAATTATAGTAAAAAAGTGTCGAAAAAGTATTTTTACCTTAATTCAAAGAACTCAAAATATATTTGAATAAAAAACCAGCATCATGGACCGGCTGAATTTTTGTATTTTTGGAATGAAGATAAAATTAAACCAAAGACAAAGTTTTAAGAAATAAGTTCTATAATGTGCAAAAGTTGAGAACCTTTATTGTTATTAAATATGGTGCAACAATAAGAAAATATATTGAGAATATAATATCTATTAAAAAATTATTATTTTTTGTTAAAAAATACCACTTTTCTTTAATTTTTAATTAAGGAAAGTATGAATAATTATCAAAAATAAAAGATAAGGGCTGGTGGATATAATACATTCTTTCATTATTTATTTATTTATTTATTTATTTTTTGTTTTCTCTCTCTCTTTTACTTTTCTTTTCCTTTTTTTTGTTTAATGTAAAAATAATAATAAATTCTTCTTTCTAACCAAAATCTGATAATCAAGGATAAGGTTAAAAATTGTCTTTTGGAGAGTCGAGTGTAAAAAATAAAAGGTTGGAAACTTCAGCCACCAAAATAATAGGTCGAAGACCTACTTTCTACAATTGTGCTAAGTTGGGGACCCTAACTGTAATTTTACCATTTATTTAATGGGTGTGGGACCCAATGTTGTGTGTATTATGGAGTGTGGGCCCGTGCCTACTCAGCTCCAAGGTGTAATGATGGAAAAAGACGAAGGAATTGTAAACCATGGCGTTTGGGTGGTTTTGTTTTTAAATGAGCACATTGTTTTCGCTATTTAATGGGATTTTTGCAATTATACCCCACCAAGTTTTGTAAAATTGTTGATTCCACTCAATACTTCTTTGTCATTGGATTCTCCTAACATTCTTATTTTTGCTACTTAGAAGAGATCAAGTTTAAGAGACGGAAGAAATCTATGCAGATTACAATGTAATAAGAATCGAATGGAACCTATCAATAGATCAAAAAATTGAAAATATGTCGAAATTCTAATCTAAAAGGACCATGTTTAAAGAATTGAAATTTGAAAATCGTTAAAATAACTCGAAAATTGATTGCTTCACCACTAAAACCAAATAGTTCATTTTTTAAAAATAAAGAAAATTTTATTTTCATTTGCTATTTAATTCTTACGACTGCAAATCTAATATTTCTTTGACCCTTTGATTTTTGGCCACTTACAATTTTCAACTTGTGCTTGAATTGGTTTTTAAAATAATGACAAACGAATGCCTACTTGTTATCGTAGTCACATACAAGTATGTAAATTGGCGTAAGAATACAAAAATACACAACGTTAAAATCGTACTTGAGATGAGAAGATAAAAAAATTAATTTAATGCCGGTACATACAAGAATTGAGATTAGTTAAATATATTTTCTTACGTTCTTATAATAATGTGAAAGGTTGATATTTAAAGTACAACACTAGATTGCATAGTTTTCTCCAAACGGTAATAAATTAAACGAAATCTAGAAATTATAAAAGAATTAAATAAGTTGATTCATGCACCTACTTGAGATTCTTTAAAACACGAGGGGGCAAATTACTTAAATTTCCTTTATTATTATAGAAACCTTGTTCGCCAATAGATGCATGCACCTGTACTACATGATTATTAGACTCATGGTCCTTGCTTTTTAGAAAAGTTCTTTACATCTCCTACTATTCTTTTTTAATTACGAAAGGGCTCTTAAATCATAAAGTAAAATACTTTTATTTGAATAAAAAGTGAAAATGTCGAAGAGAAAAACTATCTTGATATCTTCACCCGAAGTCTAGTTGAAATCCTGAATACATGAACACAAAAGCGCAATTCAGATACTAATTTCTTGATAGAAGTCACTAACATCCATTAAAAACCACTAACAATTTGAAGTGACGTAGATTTCACAAGTATCGTGTAAACAATTTAATAGAAAAATTGGATGATTCTTGTCGTTGAGAATTGAACGGTTCGTGCAACTACAAGTTGAAGACGAATTTGTTACTTTATTTAAAATTAGAGACCAACTTTTTACTATAACAATAAGTTCAAGAGGAACAATGCAATTTTTCTTATCATAATATTAAGATAAAAAATTCATGTTAGGTGGGTCCTTGCATCACCAAATCTAACCTCCATTTTTGTATATATAAATCAACCAGCCCTACTCCTTTTCCTTCCTCCTTCCACCTGTTTTCTCCTCCCATTTGTGCATCAAAGCACATACCAGCCACCCTATCGGCTATCACCACCGCAATCCGCCACTCTCTCCACCTTTCAAACAATGAGATCCGCCGCCTTATACTACACTGGATGTGAGGATGATCAGTACCAGCCCCATTTTCTTGATTCGTGCTCTCTTTGCCGCAGAACACTGAACCATAACAGGGACATTTTCATGTACAGGTTAGCCAAATTACTCCACCTTAGCCCTTAGGTTTATACATAAATACCAATCTTAGAATTCGATTACAGATTTGATCTTTAGACGGATAAATTGTTCGTGTTTTATGCTAATTATCTTTTTGATATTTGAATGACTTGAGTTCTAATGGATTTGCATTTATTCTGCAGAGGGAACACACCATTTTGCAGCCAAGAGTGCAGACAAGAACAAATTGAGATAGATGAGGCCATTGAGAAGAAATGGAAGCTCTCTTCTTCAAAGAAATCAAATTCTGTGAGAAAAACTACTGATTCTGCTAAAGAAACTGACACCAAGAAAGCTGTGAGGACAGGGACGGTTGCTGTTTCTTGATACAAGATCAAGAAAATTACTCTTGAAATCTTGATTTTACCAAGGCCTCTTTCTTATGCAGCAAAAATAATGAAGATTTTTCACAATCTGTAAAGAAATGATGGGTACAGGAAGGGAAGAAGATCCATCACCCAATTTTGATTATTTTCTTGTATTGTTTTATCTTTTATTTTTCAGTTCCCAAGTGCGATTTCAGTGTGTCGTCCATTACGGGGCATAAATATTGTATTCATGATATATAAATGTTTCTAATTAATGATAAACCTTAGAATTAAGGTTTTGATTAATCTATATTCTGAGTTTTGGAATAGGTATCAGATTTTATCGAGTTTTTTTCTCTCCTTTAATCACCCATTCTTAAAAACAAAAAAAAAACACTTGTAAAATTTATAATACCAAATAATGGACCCAAACAGGGGTTAAAGATCATGTTTGGCTGTCCGTATAAGCAAAACAAACTTAAAAGTCGCCTCCAGGGCATATCTCTCAGTGGCAAAGGGAAGGGCGGATAGGGCTCAGCGCGGCAGTGTGCAGAGTTCGATTCTCCGCAAGGTGGAATTGACTTTGTTGCAAGCGGGAGTTACCATATGAGTTAACAGCCTCGGCCTATCCATGTGCTCTCCACCCTGGCTCCTGGGAGACACATCCTGCGATTTACCTCCTTCACGATGATCCAGAGTAGGGTCGGTGGGGACCTTTAAGGTTGGGGTTCAACCTTTTTAAAACAAACTTAAAAGTTACTATGCCTGAGACTTTATTTTCAATTGCTGCCAGCACTTCTTCAACTTGTGCGGAAACCTTGTAAAGGGAGGCAAATTTTGCCATCATCTAAAAGTAAGAAAGAAAAAAGTAACTTTTAAAGGAAATAAATGATCTGACCTGAAATTACTTGTCAAGATAAAGACATATCCTTTTTTAAGTATATGGTTCTGTTGAGGTTTTACTCTAAAAATGGTAAAATCTTTTAGGACCAATAAAAATTTGGATAAAGATATTTGTACAAAATCTTATTGACAAAATGGTGTACTCACTCTCACAAAATTAACGGATCCCATGTGAATTTTAAAAATGTCGGCTTGTGGTCCCCATCCTCTTTGTGAGTTGTGAGTAGGGAGTTTGTAAAAAATGTTCGTACATGTATCATGATCCTAAATTTTTATATACCATAGAACCTTGACAAAAGGATTTTTTTTAGATGAAATTGCATTGGGTGTCAATTTGGTTTTGCATTATAAAAAATGTCACCATTTAAATTTTCTATCAAAAATGTCAATTTATAACATTTTTGACATTCTGAATTATTTGAATACCTTATATATTAATTTTCAAGCAAGGGCTTGCAAATTATGAATTTGCACAACATGCCCTTGTCTCCAACACCAAATCTGCTGCTAAAATCATGGAATTTTTTTTTTTTTTTTTGGTTTTCCTTTTACTGTGTGGCAGAAGCACTTGGCGGCGTCAAGCAACGACTGTCGCTGCTGTAGTACAGCGGCGAGCGACCGTCACTGCTGCAACAATACAGTAGCGACGAGGGCCACTACAATTCAGCAGCAGCGAGTGATCGCCGCTACTGCATTTGTCACTCGCCGCTGTGCTCCTCGCTATTGACTGCCATTGCCGCCACTGTCTTTACGTCATTTTTTTTTTGCCCAAAATTTATTATCTTTTAAAATCAAAAATAAATTTTTAAAATAAGAGTAAGTTGGACATTTCCCACAAAAAGGTGACATTTTTGATAAAATTCACATGCAAATTTTTTGTGTATTATAAAAAAAACGTGACATTTTTTATAATTCATCTTTTTTTTTATAGTTGTTGCCTGTTGGGTACTCAACGGAACTTTTAATTGTGTTAAATCCTTTATGACGCACAAATATATAAAATAGTAACAATTAAATACATAAAAGAAATTGATAATACATATTAAGAATTTTTTTTACTTCGCAGCTTTTATTTTCTCAAAATATGCATTTAAAGTCGTTTGCTTTTTTTTTTTTTTAAATAAAAACTCGAGCAAAACTCAACCTCATCCGTAATTCTATAATGCACACAGCACATTTGGTATACTGTTTTTAGTTTGTAGAATGTACGAACAGCCAATTTTGTAAGCAAAAGCTTTTAACTCCAGAAAGTATTGTAGGCTCTGGAGTAGCCCTCCCAAGAATTTCACTTTGCAACAATTATGATAGTTTATTGACACTATTATATTAGCTATAAGCAACAAAAATTCAAAACTGTTGGCACAAAAATGGACTTGATTTCCCATATCTTACCTTTCCTTTTCAATCTTATTTACATAAAATGAACTCATAAAAGCCAGCAGGGGTTGATATTCAGAAATTAGTCTTGCTGTCATGGAACATGCCAGAAAAGACAAACCACAGAAACAGGATGAAACCCAGTGATGGCAATGGGCTAAGCCATGAGCTCGGCTCATCAAAGTGGCAAAACGAGTTCAAGCTCGTTCAAGCACGTGTCGAGCTTGGCTCAGCCCACGAGCTCGTTAGCTCACAAGCCAAGCCGAGGCCCAATAGTCGTTCGCATCAAGGGAACCTCCCGCTCGACTGGGGCTCGTCCCGAAACGAGCCCGAGCCGTCCATGGGCCAAGCTTTGAAGAACCGAACCGACGAACTATTTGACCCTTTTGCCACTACTAATGAAACCCGAAATGATTGCAAAGTTGAAACGGTTGTGCTACATATATATAATGGAATACGTACATATGATGATGTGGTGAGATATAATTGGATTATAAAAAAAAAAAAAAAAAAAAAAAAACACCTTTCCATTCTCTTTTTGATACATCGTCCGTATGTAAATCATTATATAACTCCATTATATTCAAGTAGCATTATTCAAGCTGAAATTGGTTATTGGTGGCCAATTTTTCCACTGAAGAAGATTTAGAAACAGGCAGATTGTATGCCTATCGTCTACAGGCATTATTCATGGATTAACGATAATGTGCAAAAGCCTCCATCTCTGTCTTCTACATTGGCACGGTGTCCTTTCATTTATTATCATGAAGTTTTAATCGAACACAAGGTTAACTATTTGCAAACATACTTGTTTGTAAGGCAAGCGATTGTAGAACATCAGATTTCTTTCTATACTAAATTTCTGCAATTATAATAAAGGCAATCTGCAACTCATGTAATTAACAAATTTAACTAACATTACACCATTGGTCTAGTGAAACACATGACTAGGTTCAGAAGTGAATAGAAGCAAAATGCATATTTAAATTTCAAAAATATAGAATTCATAATATGCCCCTTGAACTGGATTGATCGCAGAAATTTAAGCATAATCTAATTCTCAAATTACTCCGCTGTAATTTTTCTCAAACTAATCAGATTGAACATTGTTTATCGAAATCCATTAAACTTAACTGCAATTTCTTAAATTTTTCTGACTTGGATATTTTTCATTTCGATTATAGCAAGTAATTCCCCATACTACGAGTGATGGGGAAAATGTGATGACGTTCAGAAGTTGGCAGAAAGTTACATGGGACAAATGAGATATGCTATTAGATGTTCAAACAAGGTGTTTATAGTTCATCGACCAATCTCATTCAAACAAGATGTTGATCTCAACGGATATTTAAAACTTCATTAAAGAGCTCAAATCTTTTGCTAAGAGGAGCATGACAACCTTAGAAATCTCCGGTGAAAAACATGTAACTATAATTGGGTCGTTTGGAACAACATCGTGTACAAAATTATATATCGGTCATCAATGTAGTATAACTATATACAAATGTGTCCAAGCCACAATCCATAAAAAATTAAAAGCTTGAAGGTACAACACTCACAAACTAGTTTCTTGTACTAAAACATTTTCACTGCCAACATATGAAATTACAAAACTACAATGCACTTGGCTGCAAGTTTCAGTTATAGGCACAACTGTTAGGTATACAAAAACCTACCATCAAAGTCTAAAACAGGTAAAAATGAACTGGACAAAAATGAGAATATCTTTAGATAATCAAGAAGATGGAATTACCCTTCAATCGCGAATTCAATTATTGCATAAATCGAGTGTTAGCTTCATCAAACCCAAGATACTGAATCAATCTCGTCCCTTGATTTCTTATACAGTTCAAGCCTTTTGGCACATTGCAATCTTCTTTCCATCAGTGCTGGATCTTCATCCAACAAGTCCACGAGTTGCTTACCCTAAAATATTTAGCAAAACCACGAATAAGATGCAGCAGCTTTTAGCAAGCTTCAACTTGAGAAGAATTGAGGCATAATGTAACTACATGCCTTAAGAAGTATATATTGATCATTATCAATTGATCAAAAATTTTCTTTCAACAATGCAATTTAAAAGAACATTAATATTAGTTGGCTAAAATAACACTAGTCTTGCTAAAAGAAATCCATGATACCAAAGGAAAACAAAATTGATATGTACCTCTTTCTTCCCAATATAAGTGTAAAAGTGATTGAGTAGAGACTGTTTTGCTTCCTTAACTTGACAATAAACCACTGCCTTGGGAACCGAATTCTTTAGAGTCTCTAATACCATGTTCACATAAGATGATACGTTAGACCCGATCCTCCTAAAATGGCCCTCTGAATAGCGATCCACAGTTGTAGCAGCTGGATTTCCCCCTTTCTCCACTTCCTGCGGAAGCCTCCGGAAGAATTCAACTGTCAGATAAGAAGCTTCCATATCGACCAATCTAATGACTGTTTTCTTGCTATCCTCACGAAACCTTTCCAATGCTTCATTTGCTGCTGCAGCTATTGTTGATTGCAGAGTTGGAAACCGTTTCAACTCCTGTTACACAAAAGAGATTCAGTACAGAAATAAGATCGACATTCGAATCAGGTAGAAAAGCACAACAGCATTTAAGCAAAACAACGAGGATTAAAACTCACCTGACACTCCTCCATCGACTTCCTTACGAGTTCTTTCAAGACGAAGTGTACCTAATTGTGCAAGTGGTGAGTCATTTATATGACCAGAGATTTTAGACGAAACTTGCATGTGGATTAAATACAATTAAAAATGGAGAACAAGAAAAACTTCTTACAGCATCAACCGTCGCTTCAGAGGGTCCCCTAAAATAATTTAGGGCTCCCTCAATAAGCCGTCGATAACCTTGCTCAGGAGCAATCAAATGGGGCTGATAACCATCTGCTTCTGAAACAACTTTCCTCACATTCTGCATCGAAAGATGCCGGTCAAGTGGAAGTTTCCTCAACGCAGCAGGCAGCTGATTGTCAAAAACTCCATATATTCGATCGCCTCCTGGTCGGCTGAAATAGTGAACATGTACAGCGAATTAACACAAGGGTTAAATGATGCCGCAAGTTCGTAAACAAAGAAGTGGCAAGAAAGCATTAAAATGTCAACAGGTCATTTTATTGCTCGTATGTGCATTAAAACTAAATCTGTCTGTATTTCAGTTGAGAGCTAGCCAAATATCAGTCAGAGGATGCAGTAGTATTGCTTATGCCATGGGCTTACTAGGTAGATAGAAATAGAATGGTAGCCCAGGCATGGAGTCTAAAAGCTGTCTTCAGGGTTATGTAATAGAGGTGATACAAATATTTCTCTCTCTTTTTTACTTGACACGTTCTTTATATACTCTCATAAGTTCTAAAGTGAATTCACTTAGAAGCATGCAGTATGGATACAATTTAACTTCTTCAAAGAAGCATTTATGACAGGAAAATTATTGGGTCTTAAAGAAAAAAACTTGAAGATTCATAATATGATAAAGAAGTAGGACAAAAATTCCATTACCCTCCTTCCAGATGCTCCTTGAATATCCGGTCAAAAGCACGACAAAGATCCAAAATGGTATATAATTGAGCCTGAAACACATCTCAGTTACTGATAAAATTGCTAGATTTCAATTCTTAAATCTCAATCAGGAATGCACAGCTTACCCCTGCATCAATAGCGACAGGCCTTCCAAGGTGGTCCAACTCAGATTCAAGTTCCTCGATGGTTTTGTTAATCAATGAGGTGATACTCGGTATTCTTGCCCTAATTACGGATTCCAAGTGCTGAAATAAAAAAATTCACCTATCACTCCACTATCTAATTTAGTACAGACTTCATGATATGAAAAGAGAAACAGAGACATACCTTTGAGAGAAGTTTAGCAAGATACTCTGAACCCATTTTACTAGCCAAGTGCCCATAATCAGGACTTGTGGCAAAATATTCTTTTTCTTTTTGTCGTGCAAGTATCATATCCACACTTCTGTTGATATCTGCTTGTGAACGATTCACAACTCCAACCCAGGGTTGCTGTAAACGATAAGATCTTCCTTCAAGAACCTGTTGGTAGAGAAGAGGCTTAGTTGAAACCCAAAAAATAATAATAATAATAATAAATAAATAAGTTAATGAGGTTTTCTTTTTTTCTTTATCTGGGGGGAAAAAAACTTCCTTTGAATGTCAACACGTTACGCATGATTAGCAGCAACCAAAACGAGGGAGTTGGGATGGGAGGTGGAAACCGGATAACGAAACAAATAGGATTTTTTGATAAAGTATATTTCTAGAATAGGAAGACAAAGATAAAAAATGAAAAAAAAAAAA